CCCCCACACACACACACACATACACTTTGTCCTGCGCATCAGCTGGTCCCACGCTGCTGATTTTGTAGCACAGCCTCTTACAATTCTTTTTAATCTTTCAACCCAAAAGAAAGAGGCTCCTTTAGTCTGGAAGTCAGCTTTTGTTACTCCTTTATTGAAAGGAGGTGACCCAGCTGTTTTAACGAACTACAGGCCAATATCAAATTTGTGTGTTTTGTCAAAGATTCTTGAATCTCTTGTTTGCGATCAACTACAAGAGTTTTTATATGTTCTAATGACATTCTCTCAAAACTGCAATCGTGCTTCAGAAAAAAGCACAGCACCATCACTGCAGCCACAAAACTGATAACTGATATAATTTTTGCTCTTGATCAAAATCAGTACTTTGCATCTCTTTTTATTGATCTGTCAAAAGCCTTTGACACTGTGGACCATGCTGTCTTAAAGTACAGGCTCTTTTGTTTGGGAATATCAGATCATGTGGTTTCCTGGTTTTCAAATTATTTAAGTAACAAGCTTAAAAATGACGGTTTGTGTTCTGATTTTATGAGTGTACACAAGGGGGTGCCACAGGGTTCAATCTTGGGTCCCCTCCTGTTCATTATGTACATTGGATTAGGACAATATGTGTCAGATGCTAATGTGCATTTTTATGCCGATGACACAATTATTTACTGTTTTGGATTGACTGTTGCTAAAGCTGTAGAATCTCTGCAGAGAAATTTTGCTGTTGTCCAGCACACATTACTGCAGCTAAAGTTGGTACTCAATGCTGATAAGACTAAACTAATGCTATTTGCAAACACCAAAAAGGTGCCTCTGACCATCCCCACTGTGTCCACTCTTGAAGGAAATATTAAAGAGATGGTTCACACATTCAAATATCTTGGGTTCTTGACTGATGACTCCCTCAGTTTTAAGCCCCATATCCAAAATCTTGTGAAGAAACTTAAACTTAAACTGGGCTTCTTTTTTTGAAATAAACTAAAAATTTCTTTTACGGTTAAAAAGCGGCTTGTCACAGCGACATTTTTATCCATTTTAGATTATGGAGACTTGTTATGTATGAATTCCTCTGCACAATATCTTTAAAAAATTATGTCTATCACGCTTCCTTGAGGTTTGTAACTAACTGTAAGGACTCAACTCATCATTGTGATCTGTACACTCGAGTGGGATGGCCTTCTTTGTCCACCAGGAGGTTGGGACATTGGTACATTTTTGCTTATAAGGCTTGCATACATCTGTGATCTAATCACAAGAAAAAGCATTGATTCGCACTCTTTGTGTTCAATTGATTATTTTTCGCTCTCTGTCCCATTTCTCCATACAAAATTGGGGAAAAGGGCCTTTGTTTACTCTGCCCCATCTACATGGAACATGTTGCAAAAAGTCTGGAAGTTAAAGACTATGTAAAGTAAAATGTAACATTTTATTTTTTAAACATTATAAATGTCATAAATGGATTGTAGTAAATGCGTAAAAATTTTCTCAACTGTAGATATTTGAATAGTGGAGATATGATTCAATTTGTGTATCTGTGTTTCGGGATTTTATGGGCGTGTCTTAAATTGCAGTCTCGTGATGTCACGCAGCTGCCTTCAGTATAACCCTGCCCCCTGTTGCTCTAATGGAAATGAAAACAAACATTGTTTTCTTGGTTACAGGATTGTTCAGGGTCGTGGGCTTGGTTTAAGCTCCTCCAGCGGACACGCCCCCAGCATTCCAGATCACAGCTAACTGCTATATTTTCATTACGTTTAACATAATTTTATAAGGTTAACAGTATTTTTAATTGTTCAAACTTGGCTGGGTGATTTTCAACACATATTTCTGTGGTGTGACAAACTCAGAACACACATTTATTTTTACTTTACATGGTCTTTAACTGAACTGATCCCATTGAGCACCTTTAAGTCCAGATTGAGGGCATTAGAGATGACTTTCTTGAATTGTGAATGTTTTTAATAGTGATTGCTTGTATTGTGTTTTAATTGTGTAACTCTATGTAAATGTATATTTTTTGCTGCCTCTTGGCCAGGACTTCATTGAAAAAGAGGTATTTTTAATCTCAATGGGACTTTCCTGGTTAAATAAAGGAAATAAATAGAATAGTCAGCGGAGGGTTTACGCAAATGCGCCAGCTCTGGGTCGGGCTGATCATAAACTTGCTTGACACCTGCAAAATCATTTTGGCTCTGATCCCATTCGGGTCGACCAAAACAGCCTAAAGATAGTGTAGTGTTAGTGTTAGTATAGATATTATTTACATGTGAAGATGCTGAGATTTTCATTGGGAGTGACAGGATGGACAAGATTTGAAATGAGCAAATCAGAGGGACAGTGAAGTTGGAGCAGTTTAGAGATAAAGCTAGAGAAGCCAGTTTGAGATGGTTTGGACATGTGTTGATGAGGGATAATGGCTATATTGGACAAAGGATGTTGGAGATGGAGCTGCCAGGCAGAAGGAAAAGAGGAAGACCCAAGAGAAGGTTCATGTAACAGTAGAGGAGGCAGGGAATAGGGTGAGTGGAGACAGGTGATCCGCTGTGGCGGCCCCTAAAGGGAGCAGCCAAAAGACAAAGAAGAAAGAAGTGAACTGAATATTTTTATACTAGTCACACTGTATTAAATTCTTATTATTCTCTCTCTTTTTTTAGGTAACACTCAAAGCTCAGCAGTTTCTCAAGACAATAATCTATATCTGACACTGCTCTGGGGGATTATCTTAAATGAACTGCTTTATTGGTATTTGTCCAGCTTTTGACTATCAAATCAATTTATGTATTGTTGTTCCATTTGACATCCTAACATTGCTCGTTATTTCTGCTCCAACAGTATCAACTGAGACCATCTACAGCTGTCTGATAGTCACCATCATTGTCTGCATCTGTATTCTTGCCATTTCATTTGCTGCCCAGGCTGCTTCCTTTGTTTCCTACACGAGACAAAGAAAACAACTCATGGGATAAAGTCACCTGATTTGTAATCTGGAACTCTTTTCACATCTCTAACTCTTTATCATCTACAAAGCATGAGCAACTTACTTTTAGATAGTCCTCAAATTTGGCATGCATGTATACATTTGTTTAAATCATATAGCTGATTAACAAGGAGATGAGGGCTCAGTATATGTCTTTTATATTCAGAAATGTGGTTCTTATAATTGCTTTTGCTAAGATTAGTTTTAAAAAATGTATTTTATTATTTTTTCAGAACTTAAAGCAACACTGATACATCTGAATAGACTGAATATAATATAAAATGTTACCGATTAAATATTTATGAAAAATGGTTGTCGAATGAGTGCACACAAAATAAATATTTCTGCTGTATTTTTTGTCACTTTGAATAACCGACACTGTCTTTACTCTGTGCTGAAAAATTGAATAAATATAAAAAGCTACAACTTTGTCTTGAACCTTTTAATTTATTTGTGTTGTTTGTATTGTGACAAAATATTTGGTGGTCCACAAAGTGAATCTGTGAAGTTTTTCTGAAGTACTTATTCTTAGGAAATAATTATAAAAATAAATGAATACTGATATAACACTCAGGATAATACCTCTCCTTGGGCTGCCACCTTGTCGTGGTGGAGAGGTTTGAGTGTCCCAATGACCCTAGGAGCTATTATGTCACGGGCTTCATGCCCCAGTAGCGTCACCCAAGGCAAACAGGTCCTAGGTGAAGGATTAGACAAAGTGCAGCCCAAAGACCCCTATGATGAACACATTAAATGGAACGCGTTCCCTCACCCGGACGCGGGTCACCGGGGCCCCACTCTGTAGCCAGGCCTGGAGGTAGGGCACGTTGGCAAGCGCCTGGTGGCTGGGCTTTCACCCATGGAGCCCGGTCGGACACAGCCTGAAGAGGAGACATGGGTCCCCCTTCCCATGGGCTCACCACCTGTGGGAGGAGCCGTAGGGGTCGGGTGCAATGTGTGTTGGGCAGTGGTCGAAGGTGGTGACCTTGGCGATCCAATCCTCGGCTACAGAAGCTGGCTCTAGGGACGTGGAATGTCACCTCTCTGGTGGGGAAGGAGCCTGAGCTGGTGTGTGAGGTTGAGAGGTTCCGACTAGATATAGTTGGACTCACCTCGACGCACCGTTCTGGTTCTGGAACCAGTCTCCTCCAGATGGGTTGGACACTCTTCCACTCTGGAGTTGCCCAGGCTGAGAGGCGCCGAGCAGGAGTGGGCATACTTATTGCCCCCCATCTCGGTGCCTGTACGTTGGGGTTCACCCCGGTGAATGAGAGGGTAGCCTCCCTCCGCCTACGAGTGGGGGGACTGGTCCTGACTGTTGTTTGTGCCTATGTGCCTAACAGCAGTTCAGATTACCCACTCTTTTTGGAGTCCTTGGAGGGGGTGCTGGAGAGCGCTCCTAATGGAGACTCCCTCGTTCTGCTGGGGGACTTCAATGCTCACGTGGGTAATGACAGTGAGACCTGGAGAGGCGTGGTTGGGAGGAACGCCCCCCCGCCCCACCCCGACCTGAATCTGAGCGGTGTTTTGTTATTGGACTTCTGTGCCCGTCATGGATTGTCCATAACGAACACCATGCTCAAACATAAGGGTGTCCATATGGGCTGTTGGCACCAGGAAACCCTAGGCCACAGTTCGATGATTGACTTTGTTGTCGTTTCATCTGATCTGCGGCTGCATGTTTTGGGCACTCAGGTGAAGAGTGGGGCAGAGCTGTCAACTGACCACTACCTGGTGGTGAGTTGGCTCCGTTGGTGGGGGAGGATGCCGGTCAGACCTGGCAGACCCAAACGTATGGGTCTGCTGGGAACGTCTGTCAGAGTCTCTCGTCAGACGGAGCTTCAATTCACACCTCCAGGGGAACTTCGAACACGTTCCGGGGGAGGTGGGGTACATCGAGTCCGAGTGGGCCATGTTCCATGCCTCCATTGTCAAGGCGGCTTACCTGAGCTGTGGCCGTAAGGTTGTTGGTGCCTGTTGTGGCGGCAACCCTTGAACCCACTGGTGGACACCGGGGGTGAGGGATGCTGTCAGGCTGAAGAAGGAGTCCTCTTGGGTCTTTTTGGCCTATAGGACTCCGGAAGCAGCTGATAGGTATCGGCAGTCCAAGCAGATTGCGGCTCGGGTGGTCACTGAGGCAAAAGCTTGGGCGTGGGAGGAGTTCGGAGAGGCCATGGAAAAAAGACTTCCATACGGCTTCGAGGCGATTCTGGTCCACCATCCGGCGTCTTGGGGGTGGGGGGTGGGAGCAGTTCGCCACCAACACTATTGGTGGGGATGGTGCACTGCTGACCTCACTTCCTGACATTGTGGGACAGTGGGTGGAGTACTTCAAGGACCTCCTCAATCCTACCAACACATCTTCCCATGAGAAAGCAGAGCCTGAGGACCCTGGGTCGGACTCTCCAATTTCTGGTGCTGAGGTCACCGAGGTGGTTAAAAAGCTCCTCGGTGGCAGGGCGCCGGGGGTGGATGAGATTCGCCCGGAGTTCCATAAGACTCTGGATGACGCGACTCTACAATATTGCGTGGACATCGGGGTCAGTTCCCCTGGAGTGGCAGACCGGGGTAGTGGCCCCCCTATTTAAAAAGGGGGACCACAGAGTGTGTTCCAACTATAGGGGGATCACACTTCTGAGCCTCCCTGGTAAGGTCTATTCAGGGGTCCTGGAGAGGAGGGTCCGTCGGATAGTCGAACCTCGGATTCAGGAAGAGCAGTGTGGTTTTCGTCCTGGTCGTGGAACACTGGACCAGCTCTACACCCTCAGCAGGGTCGTGGAGGGTGCATGGGAGTTCGCCCAACCHGTCTACATGTGTTTTGTGGACTTGGAGAAGGCGTTCGACCATGTCCCTCGGGGACTCCTGTGGGGGGTACTCTGGGAGTATGGGGTACCAGGCCCATTGATATGGGCTGTTAGGTCCCTTCATGACCGGTGCCAGAGCTTGGTCAGCTATGCCGGTAGTAAGTCAGACTTGTTTCCGGTGAGGGTTGGACTCCGCCAAGGTTGCCCTTTGTCACCGATTCTGTTCATAACTTTTATGGACAGAATTTCTAGGTGCAGCCAAGTTGTTAAGGGGATCCTTTTTGGTGACCTTAGATCACATCTCTGCTTTTTGCGGATGATGTGGCCCTATTGGCTTCATCAGATGGTGATCTCCAGCTCCAGAGTGACAGTTTAGCTAGTCTGGGAGTCCTCCCTGACGAGGTGGCTGGAAGAGATGTCAGAGCTTCCCTGCTTATGCTACTACCCCTGTAACCTTATTTTGTAACAAAAGGTAGAGGCCATGCTTAGCATCATTCCAACTTCATCTGCTTCTTCTCAGTGGACAAACTTCTAAGGCAGCAGTTCTGGGAGGGAGGCCATGACATCCCTCTCCAGCTCCTTCTGGGAAATGTTGAGTTGTTTCTAAAACCCATAAGGAATAGATGGTCCCTCCAGCCAGGTCTTTAGTTGCCCCAAGCTTTTTTCCAAGAAGAATGTGTTAGGAAAACCTCCAGAGAGGGATGACTGTCTGTGGAGAATTTGAATGTTTTCGGTACAAAGAAGAAAGAAAGTCAAGACCCAGTTTAAATTACCTTCATTGTGTTCATGCTCACGCCCATGAAGAGACAATGGTATAAAAGAAGATATCTGACAAACAAGAGCACAGCATATAATGAAGCCAAACAGGTGAGTACCGAAATACTTATTTACAGCCTGGTGATTCAGTTTGCTGATACTTTTACTATATTGTCCTAAAAATCTATTGTTAATTTTTTTTAAATAGCAGGAAGCTTTGTGAAGTACTTTCTGGCAAGTGGCTGCAAATAAATTAGTGTCAACAAATCCTCTCTAAATAAGTTTTTAGAGATAAAGATTGGTCTTGGATCTTCAAAAGAACAAGACTGGATATGAAATCAGGTTTTTGTGCTTTTTGGTGGGAGACTGGTGCTTCCTTTGGTTCCCATTTTTTGTTGCCTTTTCACAGGTTGAAACAGAAAAAAAGAAGGCTTTCCATCCTTGGATGCCTGCTTGGTTTATTTCTGCAAGCTCAGGCTCAAACAAATTTGGATAAATGCCTTTTAAGCAACACTTACAGACCTCCAGGTTTGTGTTTTTTATTCACTGTGATGTTCTCAGACCATTTTATTTCAACCCTCACATTTTTTGTTTACATTATTTTCTTTTATTCTCTTCTCTTCCAGCAAACACAGACATATCAGTAACATGTGGCAGCCAGTTCGTGGACCTGAGCATCTACCTTTGTCCTATATATAATGCTCAGTACAACGAGTCACTGATAGTGCTAAACAACCAGTTGAATAACTCTGCTTGTCATGGGGTGGCTGACTTCAACGTTACTCCACCAGTTTTAACATTCAGATTCCCAATAAATGACACTCTGTCTTCAAACTGCGCCAACAAATATGTGGTATTTAATTTAAAAGCTTTCTGCTACAGTTTCTTCACAGTTCACATGCTGAAATGTTCGACTCTTACTGAAGTACATTTTATTTTTTGTAGGTAAACTCTCAGACAGGAACCGGAGCGTTTTCTGATTTCTCAAATGTTCAGTCCGTCAACATCTCTGGCGTCGTTACGGCCATTGACCCCTCTGCAGGAACGATCACATATCGTTCGCAGATCCTGTACTACTTCTCCTGCTCCTATCCTATGAACTACCTGCTCAATGACACCCAGCTCAGTGTGTGAGTATGCCAGGCACAATTACAAACAGATTATCTGATTTATAATCAAAAACTTGTAAATTCCACCATTGTTTTTTGTCACTGCAGATCAGGTGTGAATGTTGCCATAAGAGACAACAATGGTAACTTCATCAGCACCCTGAATATGAATCTGTACTGTGTACGACAAACTCTTTTACTCATTGTTTGTTAATCTGTATGTTTTTGTCATTTAGATATTTGTTTCTGTATTTTTTATTTCAGGATAATGATTACCAACGGCAATTAGTGATTCCACGGATAGGACTTAACCAAAAGACCAAGATTTATGTAGAAGTTAAAGCTACTAATCTAACAAGCAAGTGTGTACATTTTAGACAGTTTATTCAAGACCAGTCATACCAGAACAAAGCATAAAGAAGATTACTAAAATCTTGATTCTCTGTGCTTAAAAGCTTCAACGTTCTGCTGGACAGATGCTTCGCCACAGTAAGCCCATCACCTGTACATAACAGCCACTATGACCTTTTTGTTGGGTGAGTTACAATCATAAGACCACAATAAAACAACAGCTCTTAACAAGTTTTTTTTTATTTTGGATAAGAGCTCTTTGTACTCATTTTAGTAAAACATGTCTACTCATCTCTGGTTGCATCCAAGGTGTATGCGTGAACCTCAGATTATCATCGATGAAAACGGAGATTCACAATCGGCACGTTTCAACTTTGAGGCCTTCCGATTTCGGGGGCAAAGAAATCAAATAATTTCCACTTTCTACCTTCACTGCCAGACCAGACTCTGTGATCCAGCCACATGTAGCTCCCTTAAGCCCGTGAGTACAATTTACCTGCTTCTTGTACAAGTTTCTGCTGATTATGTTAATAGATTTTAACTCTTTCCTACTCTGACAGGGAGAGAGGTTGTGGGCAGGTCTACTCAAAAGCTACTATATGAATGCCTCAATGATGAAGATTTCCCCAATGAAAAAGAGGTTTTTCTTTAAATTTCAAGTTTTAGGAGGCATTGTTCTGACCAGGGCCATGGTGTAGGCAGTATAGGCAAATGCTAAGGGCGATATCCATACAGGAGTATGGGGAACGAAAAAAAATTCTATAACTTTTTATCAGTGTATAGTTGATTTAGTCTGTGGAATGACCACTGGTTACTCAGGTTTACGATGATAACTCGTTCTGTGGGTTTCTCAGCCTGCTTCGCAAGGGGATAGTTTGATAAAAGTATGTTGTGATGAAGTCAAGGATAACTATCTGTGATCAGTGTGTAAATAGAAAAAATAAGGATAATGGAATCCCAAGAATTTAGTAAAAAGGTCTACAAATACAAATGCATAGTTTTGAAAAGATATTTTACTAAACTTCCTAGGGGAGTATACCACCCCTGAATCCCCCTAGAACTGCTTCACTCCACAGCTCCTCATTAACATGAACTGGTGCTCCTCATTGCTGCCAGCAAATGTTGGCAAATATGAGGTAGACTTCTGGAATTCTGTTTAAAATGGATTATATTGTTAACTATTTTATTGTTGAACACCTGATTTCTCATGATAAAAAAAACATTTTGAAGGACAAAAGTATTTAATTTGGTTTGTGAATGTATTTAAATTGGCAGTGAGATTTCGAAAATCACACAAGGGGCACCAAATTGTCTTGGGCCGACCCTGATTCTGACTGTTGTTTGTGCCTTTGCACCAAACAGCAGTTCAGATTACTGAACCTTCTTGCAATTTCTGGATGATGTTTTAAAATGCGTCTCATATACATACATACAAATATATATAATTGTATATAAAACAAAACAAAATGTTTAAATAATTAACTTTAACAAACATAATTATTATTTCTTCTTCCTAAATTAAAGGGCTTGTGAGGCACTTTAAAGTCATTATTTTTATCAATTTAAATTATTAAAATATTATGAGTTGGTTGATTATAAGATTTTGTTGATTATGTTTAGGGATCATAAAATGTATTGCCTTTGAATATTCAAACTAATTTTCTTAAGAGGGAAAGTTGTTATAATTTGAAAGGATTTGAAATGTTTATAAAACCTAAAATTAGAAAAAACTTGAAGGATAGATGTACCTCAGTTCAAGGAATAAGATTGTGGAATAACTTGGACAGTGATTATAAAAATGTTGACTCAATTAATTTATTTGGTAAAATGATAAAAGCAAAATAGTTGAAAAGATATGAAGCTGATGTTTGAGGGGTTAATTTAATTATTATTTTTTGTTTGTTATGTTGGAGAGGCTGTAAAAATTATAAATGTGCATCCTGTCCATAGGTCTGTAATAGAAGAAGAAAGAGAGAGACCCTAAACAACTCCTCCAGCACCTCCAGCACCACAATCAGTTCTTATCAAATACTTGTCAGAGACGATAACGGTGAGTCAAAGTTGGATCCAACTTTTGACAAAACCGTTAGCTCATAAGGGTCACTAATAAAGCAAAAGTTTTAAATGTTTTTATATGTTTTTCAGGTGTGTTTCAAAATTCATCATCTTTACACGGTAACAATCATTTATATCATTTATGTCTGATGTTGATCTTAACAAGTGTTTCCCAACTGTTTTCCCCTGAAAACAAACAAAAAAACACATTCCAACAGACAAAACAGTTACTTGAAAGATGATTGCAGATCAGAGGTCATAAAAGGAGGGGTCCCTTTTATGCTACATACCCCCCACATGGGTTTAATGCTACAAACACATAATTGCTAATGGAGTAGGAGCAGTGTCTGATGGGAATAAATGCTTCCCTAGTTAGAATTTTAGTTTAAAATTGTGCAAATGTGCAAAACATGACAGCCTTTGTCCCATTAAACCCCACCTATTAAAGGTTGGGAACCACTGATCTAGGGGTAAACCTTTAATGAAAAACTGTCTTGGTACTTGCTCAGTTGATGATAAGTTAAATAAATGTTCATATTATCACGTTTCTTTACATCCTGCTTTTCTTTCTTGCCTTTCCACCAACAGTGTCAACTCATCTTACCTACAGCCGCCCTGTGGTTGCTATCATCGTCTGCATCAGCATCGTTATTTTTTTTATCGTGGCTCTGGCTGCATACTTTTACTACAGAAGGCAAAGAAGCAACTAAAATCATCTGAACGAGAAGGGTGACCATTACCCATTTCTACCTCTTCATCATCTACAGAGCATCTCAAAATATTCAGCGTGCACATTTAGTGGAAACGAGGGCTTAGTCAGTGTACATTTAGCTGTTTATTGTAATCAGTTTTTAGTTGTAATTATTTTATTTATCTGTTACACCCACCTTTTATGGAGACAGGCAACAATTCCCTCTGTTTGTTAGCAAAATACCTCATGAACCAGCTGACAGATTTAAATGGAACTCTTAGAAATTAATCATTAGATGTACATTTATTTTTAAAGTCAACCCTAATCGAGATGGCTGCTGTATGCATATTATTTAAGGTTTTAGGCTGTAAGAATATTGAGGCAAGTTCAAATAAAAGTTGCTTAAAGAGGATCTAAATCTCATTAGTTCAAATTTGTGTGTGGTTCTGTGGAAAGATTATGAACAATAATATCTTACCAGATGTAGATGACTCGTTGAAGGACTACAGAAATAGTGTTTGCTTATGACCAGGCTGATACATCCACAGTAGGATATTAATCATTTGTAATCTTTCCATAGAACCCCACTGTGCAAGATCCGAACTATCCCTTTAAGGTGCTGGGTTTTAAAAAGTTAAAATAAAACAACATTGATTGTATTTTCATAAAAAGTCACAAAATACACACACCTGTGTTCAAACAAGTGTTTTCATTCAAGTTGTGTCTCAAACTGTTTATGTCTCAATTTTATTCTTCACATAAATTATTWCAATCGAGCTTGAATAATATTTTGGTTTATATTAAAATACTTAATTGGTCTCAACATTTTATTGCTGTCTGTAGTTTTTTTACTTTCACTGAACTTTTAAAGTAATGGAAACTGTTTACTGATAAGTTTCCAGCAATATTTAAAAACCAGGTTTACAGAGTGTTTATTAGGAGATGTAACTATCCGGTCCTGTGGCGATTATTTGAAAACTCTTCTGGCAGAGATGAGCATTCTGAGGGGCAGCACGTCCTCCACCCATTCATTCGGCGACGCTATCATTCGGTCCCACAGGGTCACCTCATCCGGACCCGAGTCCATCCAGTCCACCAGAGCTCCATAACTTCGTCCTGCAGACAGAAAGAACATCCAGAAATAGATATATTGTCTATTATCAGCCTCCACCTTCATGCATTGAGTTTCAGTCTCAACTGGACACATTTGGCTTTTGCTTTTGCAACATTAAACCTTGAATAAGTCACGAGTTCTTTATCATCAACTTGGTTCAGGTTTCTGATGTTTCTTTTCTTTTGTCCTATAAATTGTAACTTAAATCTTTTTTCTTTTCTAACTACAAACGCTGGAGGCCTGAAAGCGAAACCTACTGTACATGTCGCTACATGTACGTACATTTTATTTACGTAAATGTGCCTTTTTTACCTACAGTTACTGAAAAGGACACACCTACAGCACATGCCAGCTTTTAGCTTAGTAGATTTTTCTTCTACATATTTACAATAAAAACACTATTTAGGAACACGATGGCTAAGATGTTAAACGAGAGGTAAAAAATTCTGCTGAATTTTTGCTATTATGTTCTGTTTTTGAGTCAAAAACAGGTAAAATACCACCACAAAAAGGTTTTAAGTCATAAAAACTAAAAATATGCAATATTTTGATAGTTTGGAGTTGAAATTTTTTTTGTTTGCGTTTTATTTGTGAATTTAAGTGAGTAATTTCACCATTTGATGTCATTTTTTTTATTTTTCAAGTCTGTTATGTTCCAATTTCTAAATAATAATAATAATAATTTTGTAATCCTTGTACCTGTTCCGGCTCCGAGCCTCAGGCCCCCCAGCAGGTTGCTGGCCAACCTGTCTCGGTCCCAGACGGTGAGCTCCACGCAGACATCTGACAGATCGGCCTCGTTGATCCCATCATACACCATTGTGTGGTTAAACACCGGATCCACGGTTCTCCGAAGAACACGTGTCTTCTGGCGACTTTTCCTGCTGGTGTCTGGCAGGACGAAGCTTGAATTCACGTCAGGTGAGGTTTTAGGTTTACTCATGAAACAAACGTAAAATAATCTGTCACCTTCCATGAGACCAGTGATGTGTTGGCTTACCATTTAACATAAGGATCGATGGTGGCCCTGATCAAAGGCAGGTTCTTACATTCTTTCACCCAGATGTGAATCTCTCCGGTGTTGGAAACATCTTTTGTTAAACCTTTTAGTGAGGAAACAAAATGTTATAAATGTGATTATGGTATAAAACTAAGTAAATGGCATGAAATGATTGATTATAGTTTAAAACAAGACCAATAGATCCTACATATTCTAGTAATATTCTCAAATATGAGTAGAATTCAATGTAAACATCCATCCATCAACAATAATTTGCATGATCTGAACTCTGTTTTACAACTGTCCATTATGTATCCCATGGACAAGCTCATATTGGCCCAATTTTTCATCACATTTTGCACCCATATTTAAAAAAAAGGCTAAAAGTCTTCTTGGCCAAACCACTAAAACTAAAACAGGAGGTTGAATCAAAATATTTAATTTGTTGCATGTTTAGCTTCTATAAACATTCCACTTTGCCACAAACCCCAAAGTCAAAAAGCCGAAGCAGACTGGGCAAACCTTCACTGTGGGTGATCTGTGGGAGAAAACGTAAGGCCAGTCTCATCTCTCCTCTGCCACTGTTTATTGGTGAAATCGAAGGAATGGTCTGGAACAGAGGAAAATTTACAGCCTGGTCACGAGGAACGAATGTGCTGTTCTCACTGATAGAGAAAAAGCTATCAAGAAGAAAAAACAACCGCAGATAAAGCAGCCTTTGTATACGAGTGCGTTTGTGTTTACCTTTGCTTTCAGAGCCAAGTAATTCATCTGGGTGTGGTCAGAGTCCCACTTTGAGAGATCCACGTCTACCTCGCCCAAGAAGCTGTTTTTGCCAAAGGTGTCATGATGCCAGACGGAGAGAATGAGGGTCTGGGTTCGGAGGTACTCCATACGAACACGATACTGTGGAAACAGTGAAGGTGATGCTTTTGTTTGGCGACAACCCAGCGTGGGAAAGTAATGAGTGTGAGGTGGCACCCTTACTCTGAGGATCTCGTTGAACTTCGGATTTAAAGTCTTTTTCTTCACAGATGTCTTCCTTTTCCCAAGATTAGCTTTGTCTGGAACCAGGTAACTTTTCACATACCTTATAAATGAACAAAAAAGACAGAACATCCAATAATACCGTTTGTTAAGTAACCCTCCTGCTGCCCTCCCATCAAAATGACCCATGAGGCCTGTGATGAGACTAATAAGTATCAAGTGACTCTGTTGTAACACATACTTACATAATGTTGCCTTTTATACAGTGAAAACAGTATTTGTACTCGACTAAAAAAAAGAAAATGTTTTGTCACTCGGACACCGAGAGGAGAAACTCACGGGTCGGAGCGGTTTCTCTTTGGGTCGACCGCAGCCAGGTCCCGGCACTCGGCAACAAAGATGTGAAACTCCCGGAGCTTCTGAACGTAGTTGATGGAGAACTGGACGCTGCCCTGGACCTCCACGAAGTCGCCGCTGTACATGGTCATCACGCTTCCACTCAACTGAGAGCAAAAAGGAGCAGAGGTTTTCATCAGCCCTGTCGGTGCTGTTGCATTGTGGGAGAACCAAGGTTCTGATAGGAAGGATGACTGTAATACAATCACCAAATCAGGTGTGTTGGAGCAGGAAAACAAGTATAACATGCAGGATAGTGGCCCTCAGAATGGACACACCTGAACTAAATTACTATCTGCTGTACTTGTTTTGTCCAGCGACTACATCGCCTACTCTGGCAAAGAATTGAGTTTCTTGAATTGGAGCGACGCACTGAAAGTAGAACAAACTCAATTATCGATTCATCACTTTGCTATCGACACAATCTGACACCAATGTTAGTCTCATGTGTTGGTGTAGATCAGTGGTTCCCAACCTTTTTAGACTTGTGTACCCCCTGAGCCATTTTGTCATACCACTAGTACCCCTTCATTCAAACGTATGATTCTCCAAAACTATTCACAATATACAACAGCTGAATGAAAATTATTTAACCCTCTAGAACATTTAATTCTCAGACATTTTATTCTTTTCAGCTCAAATTAAACACAAAAATAAATATGTTGCCTTGAAAGTGAATAAGTAGTTAAATAAACCAAAATACATTATATTATCCAAAATACATCAAATACCCCAAATGAGCAGATTCCATGAGATTCCGTGTTTTATACAGGATTCCTTTTTGTGTCAATTCCGTTTGCATTTTCCGCATTGCAGAAATCATAGGGCCCTACATATCTCTGTCCTTTTTTTAATTTATTTTTTTACACACCTGGTAAATTTTTCCACGTACCCCCTGTAATATGCTTGCATACCCCACGGAGTACACGTAGCCCTGGTTTGGACTCACTGGTGTAGATAATCAGTCATCCGGGACATGTCAAATTTTAAAAAGTAAACAAAACAACAAAGCTAATAACCTTCTATTTTATGTTTCCAAGCATTATGCTGATGTTGGTTTCAATATTATTGTATTTGTATCGATCCGTATGTCCTGACATGGTGACATTAAGGTCAGGTGAAACACATCATATATGTATCTAATTTATTATCACATATGAAAAAGAACTGGTCAGATTAAAATCTCTTTATTCAGACTGTCAAAAACTGACCATTTTTCACTGATGGGAAATCCCTTCGTATAATGTTTGGTGTCATTATGAAGCTTAAGGATTCCCCTTTTTTCAATATACAACTGATGACATCTTCAGACTAATAAAAATTGAGTTTTCAAACTGGCCCTTTCATAAACATCAGTTTGTTGTCGGGTCAGGTGATAAACAACCAAATTTCAACAAACTACAAATCATTTTGAAGCTTTGAGATAGGATTTTGTAAATATTTATAGCCCAGTGTTAAAAATAGTCCTAACAGAGACACAAATCCAGCTTTAATGAAATAGATGCATAAAAAATTGTTTGGCACAAACTGGATGCCAACTGCTGGGTAAGAACATACAGACGCTGTGCCGGAGGAACCGCTGAGCGCCGTCATCGAGCTGCCCGCTGTTAGTCCTTCAGCCTCTCTGCCATCATCGTCCTGAAATCCAGACAGCAGGGGTGAGAAGCTGATGCAGTACAGAACTGACTGAACCAAAGGATGCTGGGAAATTTTTTACCTCCTTCTGTAGAAACGAAGGAACCGATTTGCTCCTTTTCTTCAAATGGTCTGGATCTGAGAACGAGGATGAGGAGGGGGAAGGGCTCATCGAAGCTGTGTTGTTGGAGAGACAAAGTACGAAACTTGACACAATAGTTTTGTCAAATATCCACCGATGAGAGATGAGGCGGTTTTACCGTCACTGCTGCGCCGGTGGTCAACGCTTTGATCGGGTCTTCTCTCTTGTCCTGCAGGAATTAGTAAAGGGAAAGAAAACATCCAGAATCATTGGGAGATGTGGAAACTGACCCTAACATGAGAGGACGTGCTCACGTGGAGGTGCCGTGACGTCCTCTAGGCTCTTCGCCAGGTTTCTAGGCCGTGCTTCTGCTCGCCACAGAGCTTTCCTCACAGGATTCAGGTCATCATCATTTACACCTTCAAATTAGAGGAAAACACCCAGATTAACCAAATCTCTTGTTTCTGAACAAAGATAAGCAAAACTGATCACACAGTTTGTTTAATAAAGATTCAGGTTTTTTAGTTGTTGGCTTAGATTAAAAATAAAATGACCATTTTTTTCCATCAGTGAGGAGATTCTTTTGATGATCTAGAACAACAAACAACAAAATTTTAAGTCGCCAAGTAAATTTACGTAACAACAATAATTACCTGATGTTCGGCCCTTTATCTGTTGGTTTCCAGTAACTATGGCCCCCTGAGAAATTGAGTTAAATGCGCCCCTTAAATCAGTTTAACTCCTTAACGAAAGCCTGTTTACCAGAACATGTTGGACAGGAAGAAAGACACTAGTGCCTTGTAGTCTTTTCAACCTTCAGCTTTACGGCCCAACGTGTCCAAAAAGTGTGAAGATTTAATCCAGGAAGCACAGTCTAGTGTTCTTGAAGTTGATCTTATAATAAATTGACAGATTTTTCTTCATGTTTGCTTGTGAAACATGATATTAGTTAAAAAAATGTAAGCTAAAAAAAACCTGCTATTCTTTAAGCTTTGATGAATTCTGGAAACGCTGAGTAATATTTAAAGCTTCACATGACAAAATTAATATAGTCTCTAATTGTTCGTGTGAAGTCAGGACTTAACGGCCGGCCCACAAACTAAACACAGTCAGCTGACCACAGGATCAAACTCTATTTACAGAAACATGTACTATATTGCATTACTTTACCATAAACTACAGTAGTTGACCTTACCTCTGGCATGTTCAGATCTGCACAAATCACTGATTTTAACCTGCATTTCGAATCTGTTGTTAACTTAGAATAAACTGTATGTGCTCATGCCCCAACTCCTGTTTGAGACAATGTAAACATGGCGTTGAGTCATGAACACACCCACTTTGCTAACTGTATTTATCTTCTTTGTGCAGATGATTGAATCATCAGAGTGTTCGTCATGTGGCATTTAATTTGTTTAAAGGCTGAAACTGTGTGATAACTCAGAGGCTCCATGATGGGATGGGATTTCAAGAACCTGAAACTTTATTTAGAGAAGAAGAGGAATTCAATAAAATCCAAAGTTGGCGCTCACGGTTCGAGCAGTTCTTGGAGTTAGACCAGGATTCTGATGCGCTGCTGATCGACGACTCGAGGCCGGTGTCGGACTCGGTGTGATCCGCCCACACAGGGTACTGACTCGTCTTGTGGGTCTTCCTGACAGGACGATCCTCCGAACTTGTTGGCGTGCTGGCGCCTAACAGACTGCCCAGGTCAAGTTCGTACCCAGACTTGACCTCCGCAGCACGGTCCTTCGTTGGGGGGTTGAACGCTGCGTGATCGCCGTCGGAGTCCGTCATTCCCAAGTAGTGACGGTAGTCTGATGGGACAAATGCTCGCGCAAGTGGTGCCAGAGTTTCTGACTCATTCGAGGATCTTCTCGACTGAGGACCTTTATCAGTTTTCTGCCTGGGCTTTCGGCTCTGAAATTGGATGGGGTTCACCTCCGTTCTCAGCTGGTTCTGGTCTTTGTCACCGTCGACACTCAGAGCGAACATACTCGTTGAGCGGCGCAGAGAGTTACCACGACTGCTGGAAAAGCAGAAGTTGTCTTTTCTGTTCTTTGGGGATCGAATCTCTTTGCTGCTTTGAGGTTTTAAGGACTTCTCCTCTTGACTGGAGTCCTTTGAGATTCTTTTGGACAGTCTCTTCTGCCCAGACTCATCTGGAATGAAACTGCTGTCATTCTGTACCTTGGATCCTGTCACTCTGTCTAATGGAGACTTTGATGGACTCATCTGAGATGGATACAACTTTGTAACGACAGCAGAACTGAAGGGATAAAGCTCCGGATCAGCGCTCCTTAACTCCTGATTCAACAGTTGAGCTTGTTGTGGCTCTTTTCTTTTGGGGATTTTAAGTTTTTCAGGGGTCACCGGTGCCCTGGAGTTGGACGTGGTCTCATCCCAGAACTCCCGCAGGGAGTTAAACTGAGCCCGACTGGCTCCGAGTGACGGAGACATCTTATCCAACCTCTGACTCAACGGGACATTGAAAGTTGTATTTTTGTTGCCACCATCTTCGTCGCTGCCTGACTTGTTCCCGACTGAGGTCAGGTCGAACTCGGACTTTGTAAATCTTTTGTTCAGTCTGGTCTGACTTTTGGGTTTTCCAGTGTAAAACACAGGCTTGTTGAGCTCCTGCTCCCAGAAGGACTTGAGCTGTTTGATTTTCTCAGCCGTGCTTTCTTGTTGCCGTGATGCCTGACTGTTTGTCCACTCTTTATTCGAAACACCACCTTTTAGACGCTTGTCTTTATCCTCATCTTCACTAGAACGCCTGTGAACTTGTGGTTTAGTGGTGACCTGCTCTTCACTCCCACCTTGTTCGTAGTCCACATACGGGCCGGACAAAATGAGTTTCTCAGAGTCTAGACCGATTGTTTGGTGATCTGTACCCGGCTCACGATGAGTGTTGGACAGCAGATCTTGGTCCAACAATTGTTTTGATTCTGACTGCAGCTTTGGTTTGACCCCAAAGTCACTCTGATACTCAGCATTTGATGCATCAGGTCTGGTTATACGTGAATTCTCAGCTCTTCTGTTGGATAATTCATAGCTGTGGAGCAGCTTCAGATGAGCCGAGTCATCGTTCTTTCTATGGTTTAAATTAAACTTCATTGTTTCTTCTTGCTGGTAATCGTTCAGTTGGTCGATGAGCAGCTGCTTCTCTCTGTTATCACTCAGGTCTGAGCTGGATTTATGTGTGACCCTCTCACTGTACCTTTCAGGATCAGAGGGAGCGTCAGAGTTCAGTCCAGGCCTCTTTGGTTTACTGAAGAGCACCTTTGGGCCCGTGTTGCTTTGCTCCCAGAATGATTTCAGATTAGAGATTTGAATTGGTTGGTTTTCCTCAGTGTTATTGCCCACATCCTGTACAGGTGTCTTTCCTCTCATGTCCATCCAAACGTCCTCCTGTCTTTCAGTCAGTTCCTCGCTTCCTCTCCCGGGTCTCCTTTTTGTTTTAGAAGTTCCGTCAAATGAATCCTTGCCTCTGGACTTGCGGACAGTTGCGTGTTTGTCGACGCTCTCCGAGACCTTCGGTTCATCCTCTTCGTCCAGCCAGTCGTTGCTGTCTGTGCTGCGGTCGAACCAGTCCAGCACCTTGGCGATGGAGTCCTCGTCTTCACCAGTGGGACTCGGGGTTTGAGTGGATAATTTAAAGACGCTTTTCTGATTCTGTCTTTGCTGAGCGGACTTATCAATGAAACTGAGATCATAAGAAACTGGAGGATCTGGATCTGAAACAGAAGACATGAAACAAGGATTTAATACTTAGAAAGTTGCTCTCTGGTGTGTTTTTTTATTTAAAAATGTCGTCTCTGGTTTCCTCCCAGAGACCAGGAACATTCATGCTAGGTTTACTGGTAACTCTAAACTGTCCCTCCCTGTGGACGAGTGTCACTTTTTGTCCCAGTGATGGACTTGACATGTCCAGGGTGTCCCTGCTGGACAGACAGGTAAAGATACAAACCAACAAACTCCTGTGGCAATTTATTGTATAGTTACACAACAATTGTTTGTTTTTTTCTGTCACTGGTAAGTGATTCTGTGACAATGATCAAATCAGTGTCTACATACAATGCCACATGTGAAAAAATGACTAAAATGATCCATTCATTTGATCATGTTTGCAAGTGTTCACCCAGTTAAAAATGGCCCCCACAACAATCCACCTTAGCAAAGCAAAAAGAACAATGGCTATAAAAAATTGGGATAAATTTTTGTCTGAAATAAGAAGTCTAAATAAAAAATGTGAGATATTAAAAGTATTGTACGCCCCTTTAAATTCACATTATTAATAAAATAAATATTTTACAAATTCCCTTGACATTTCTCATTCAAACATTCTGAAAGCTAAACAAATAAAAGTTAAATACCCTGAAAAAAGTGATTGTTTCAAAGATGCTGATTTAAAACATATTTGATAAAAAATTTTATGTTATAGATTGATGTGGTAAAATAGATTTGAAATGATTGTAAACAAACCACTATGTAAACGTATATAAAAAACAGCATGATTTTGGGAAATTTGGAAGTTTTTAAATTTCAGGTTAAACTTAAAAAGGGGAGAAATGATTGCGTAATAGAAGAAAAAAAAGTAAATGCAAAATACAGCAACAGTCCAAAGACCCTAGCAGGAAACTAATAAACATAAAGTTGTCTGATGTTGGTAAACTCACCAGCAGAACTCTGGGTCGAGCTCAGCTCCTCTCCTCTCCCGAACGTCTCTTGAACATTAAAAACGTTGGAAGCTGCTCTCTCTTTCTGGTCCAGAACTTCTCCATCTTTATTCCACGTTGCTGATCCTCTCCCAGCGTTCACCTCCGTCCCGGTGAACGCAGCTGGTCTGAAAAGACAAAAAAAAAAAACTGAGCTGTGCTGAGAGGTGACACAATCTGATTCAATATTTGAGATAAAAGTTGGCACTGACCCGTCTCTTGTCACATTTTGTTCTCTCTCCAGACCTGGTTTAGAGGAAATCTGAGAGCTGTCACGGAGAAGCTGCGGAGAAACATCCTCTCCTGCTTTGGTTGGTTGAAGGGACGGGTTAAAAACGTCTTCCTGAGGCGGTTCATCTTTGCTCTTAAAGCAGGACGAGGGGTTGGAGCCGGGTCCCCTCTGGTGGCGGCGCCTCGGCGCAGGGACCACCTCTGCAGGTCTCACCTGAGCATCAGACCACGGCTGGTTTTTGGTTTGTAGCTGACTGTGGCTCAGGAGGAGCGTCCTCTTCTTTGGCACGGGCCTGAATCCCACAGAGGAGCTTTCTGATGTGATGGAGCCCCCCGAGGTCTGACTGGAGTCACCTGCTGGGGGGTTCTTCAGGGAGGAAACGGGTTCTAAAGAAACAAAAATAAAATGACTAATGATGGCAAAATGAATCACAATGAGGATTTTTTTTCAATAACAAGCTATTAAACTTTGCAAATTCTTCATCTCAAAAGCTTCAAAATGATACAAAATGTGTTGAAATGTGGTAATTAACAGCTTGAACTTCAATCTTTATTAGTCTGAAGTGTCATCAGGAGTTCCTTTAAGACTCAAGACCTTTAGAGGTTTGTTTTGACTCAAAGGCCGCCTTTAAAAATGAAAATACAAAAGCGTCACGATGCCAAACATTATACGAAAGGATTTCCCAGCACTGTGGCAGCTGGAGCAGAGGACATTTCTTATTTCTGAAGTAAACTTTAATTTGAATGTAGATCTTATTTTAAGTTCTTGGGATTCCCCTGGAGGAGCAGAAGAAAACGGACGGATCTTATTTTAGTTACTGGGTGTGTTTATAGACTAATTTCTTAATGAAAATCTCATTTAAGATCTATGTTTTCACTTTTTTTATTTGAGCTGACTCATTTTTCCAACACTGGTCTCAAACGTTTCTCAGCTCTTACCTGTTTCCTTCAGGTGGTCCTGCTGGATTAACAAGTCCTGCATATTTTCAGGGTGGTCAACGGCGGTGAGGGAAGCACGGTTGAAGGGGTTGTGTCTCGCCTCAAAGGAAGAAGAGCGAATGATTTTTATCACAACAGCTGCAGTAAAAATAATACATAAATAAAACTGAATAACATTTATACTTACCGGTCTGGGAGAACGAACTCCTGAGTAT